AGGTGAAAGATTCTACACTTGCCTCACTCCAAGCCAATGAATCCACCAAGAACATGAGAATACCAAGGACCACGTGAGTCTTCAATACCGGATACTTGTCTAAGGCGTGTAAACACTTTCCTAAAGTGATTATTTCCCCCACCACGGTGCTTGGGTTGAAACTGGAAAGTCACTTTGAGATACAATAGACAAACACTACAATCTTTGCACTAAGAATTGTAGTAAGATGATCAAATTCTCAAAATTAACTTAATTAATAAAGGATTTCTAGAAGAGATTGCAAGTTTCTTAGAGAAATTATGAAGAAGAGAGAATAATAGAGAGGAAAAATCAGAGAGAGCAAAAAACCAGAATCACATCATTCTTTTTAATTTTGCAATTAAAAGAACAAACGAAACCGCAACTGACAGGGCCGCGGGCGCGGACAGGGTGAATTGAAATTCACCCTCAGATTCTGTAGATGGTTGGCTGCGCCCTAGCCGCAGGCGCGACACACCATGCCGCGGGCGCGGCACATAAGGCACGAGGGGTGGGCCGTGGGTCGTGTCGTGAACAAAAAAATAAAAATTCGGCACGATCCCGGCACGAGCCTGCGGGCGGCACGAACTTTTGGCCTACCAGCACGGTCCGCTAGTACGACCCTTAATAATAAAAAACTATAAATGATAAAAATAATAAAAAGAAATATGATAAATTAATAATAAAAATAATAAAAAGAGCCATAATAATATAAAGAACTCTAAATAATAAAAATAAAAACAATATAAATATTAAAATTAATTAATTAATAATAAAAATAATGGCTGACCCGCGGCCCGGCACGACCCGACCCGCCAGGCACGTGGGCCGTGCTGTGTCGTGGGCTAGGGTGTGCTATTTGGTGGCCCGGCCCGGCACGGCCCACCATCACCCAGGCCCGGCACGGCACGACCCACCATCACCCAGGCCCGGCACGGCACGACACGACTCACCTCCTGGCACGGAGAGGCATGTCCCGTGGCGGCCCGGCACGACACGAAGCCCAGCTCTAAGTTCATGTATGAGGAGACACCTTCGAGGCAAAAATATATTGTTGCTATTTGAGATGATCAGTAATCTGCTTGATTGTCTTCTTACAATTGTTAACTTGAGTTCACTTGATATTATTATATTAACAAAAACCTACAAAGTCAATCAATTTACAGGAAATTAGTGAGGAGGCGAGATACAATCTGGGCCCCCACCCCTCTAGTTATAGCGAAACCAATCCAGCTAAAGATGTGAGCAGCTGCACGAGCACCAATATCCTGAGTCATAGAGAATGTCTGAACCAGCTTTAGTAACGCAACAACATCCTTATCTAATTCCTCCAAAGAAGAAAAGGAGAAGGGAAGAAAACCATAGCTAATTTCCCTGCAACGCACCCCATACTTGTACCGCTTTCGTTGAGCCACAGCCGACACAACACGACCAGGAACAAAGTCAGACAACCCAGATTGTGTTAAAGGAGAAGACCCCGTCAAATCAACACATACATCAAGGCCTCTGTCCAAGGAATAAAGCAACACATCTGCTGGTCGAAGAGCCCTGTCGTTCCCTCCAGTCAATTCAATGTTAACCTCCTTTCTCGCAGAAATCCCGGACCGAAAATAAATATCAACAAGGGTGTCGCGAACAACATTATGCCGATGTTAATACCCACCATCCCAGAACAGGACACTGCATGATCTCCAAATATATCCCCATCGAAAACACTTGAGCAAGTGGAACACGGTGCCGAAATCGAGAACAATGGAACACCCAATCTGTAGCAAAGAACCGAACGGTAAGCCTTACCATAGTCTGACCCAACCCTGATATTGGGACCGCCAGCAACCAGGAAGAAGAGTGATCCCCCTGCTAGGATTTCCATAAGGCAACCTAACGCGGAGATAAGGAGAAAGTGGATGTTGCAGAAGCAGTAACCTTCGTGAAATATATATCTGTCAATTTCTTCACGAGTTTGCGGGCTGAGATTTCACTTAGGTTACGCAAAAGGTCGGTGTCCACAGTCCTATGAAAAAGACTAAGAGCATCATCGAATGCCAGTCCCAGTCCAACAATACCAAAATTGCGTAGAAGCGTAGCCTGAAGACCAGTAGATTGCAAACGTGACCCAAGAAAAGCATAGTGTCGAACATCACCTGCTGAATAAACACCCAGTCCACCATAAGTAAAAGGCAAGGTGGTAAGACGCCATTGCCAGTCACGAAAACTAGGCCCCGAAGCAGTATCAATGAGCTCCAAAGATGCTCGAAGGGCCACATCAAAAGAAATTTGGGCCGCTTCAAAAAGACGAGGGGGACAAGTGCGCATAGCAAAGTAGAGTTTTGAAACCCCAGTACACGCACGAAGTAGTAACAACTCACATTGGGGATTATCAAGCTTAGCAACAACATCCATTAGCACAATGGTCTTCGACACTCTCTGCGGAACAAGCTCACCACAGAAAGAGGAATCCGCACTGACAGGACCACCGAGCAACTTAACACCATGCACAGGACGCCCAATATCTAGAGGAAAGACACCGACGAGTCGGCTACGAGGGTCCTCCGAGGGCCAGAAAACTTCCGTTTTCTCAACGTTGACATGGAGGCCGAGACGAGGTCCCGCAGCCAAAATCAACTCCAAAACCTTTCCTACCACTAAGGTATCACCAATAATAGTGTCGTCATCTAAATACCAAGCTTACAAACATAAGTCAAAAGAATCCTTGATTCTATTATTCATTATTAGTATTATTATTATTATTATTATTATTATTATTATTATTATTATAAACAAAACTAGATTAAAATTTAGAAAATAAGTTTAAAAGAACACGAACATTGTTTCAGATATCAATTTGATAAGCAAGTACTTTTCCTTTTTTTTTTCTTTTTTTTTTTTTTTTTTTGTGACAAGAGATAAGCAAGTACTCCTATCAAGCATGCATGCAAAATTCCATTAATTTGTTGGTGTAGACGCGTAGTTATGAATCTATATCTCCAATCAATTCTATAATTGTTGGATACATGTCACAAATTAAGTCACAAACAAGTTATTATTGCTACTTACAATATCCTAGGTCTCCAAGGCATGAAGACCCTTGGCCTCCAAGGTTATAATACTTGCTCTCCAAGGTTAAGGCTTACATTTGTAGTATATATCAGGGCCGGAGCCAGAGTGGGACAAGGGGGGGACAACTGTTTCCCCACTTTTAAAACAAAAATTCAGTTAAAATACGTATTTCTGTGTTATATTTTGTTATATCAAATAAGATAGTGCAGTGGTGAGCAAGAGCAGTGTACTTTTGTGAGAGGGAGCAGAGTTCGATTCTTCATGCAATATTTCACAAGCATTTTTTTAAATGCATATTTTTGTAATAGGATTGTATTGTCAATCAAAGAATATATATACAAAATACAAGCTTAGTCAAAAACTTTGCTAACTAATTCTTTTTTTTTTTTTTTTTTGACAACAGCTCTTTGCTACCTAATTCCTTGAACATAAAAAATAAATATTGGATTAACTAACCTAAAAGACTAACTGACAGCTAGTATTATAATAAGTATACATTGACTAAAGATATATACAAATAAATACGAAGTATAAAATAGTGCTAAATATATTCTAACAATAAGATAGTATTACTTCTATTTTTTATCATCTAATGTTCGAATTTTTCAAAAATTCCAAACCCATACTAGAGGAAGAATTCAAATGATATTAGATTTTTTCACTAAGTACTCCAAATTTTGGATTTTTTGAGTTGTAAAACTTCAACTATTAAATTATATTTGTGATCGAGTATTAATATTTTTTTTTCCAATATTTTTGTCAAACTATGTGATGTTTATTTGTCCGTCCTCCCGGTTTGAAATTTCTGGCTTCGACACTGGTATAAGTATCCATCATATTCCTCTTGTTTTGAGGACATGACACAAGACACACAACTACTAGCTCATTACTGAGTTTCTTAGCTCTCTTTGAGAATTAGCTCTCTTAGCTCATTAGAGTCATACCATAATCTTGTACCCTTCAGGGTTGTACTCTCATACCCTTTTTCATATATTGGATAATTAGTACTCGTTGGTGGGTTGTTTATCTCATTTGAGGGTTTTTCCCACGTTAAATTTGTGCGTCTCTTATTATTCTTCTTGTCCATCTTTTATCTATTTATTTCTCTGTATCATTTTGTGCTTCCGCTTGTGCTCCTAATCCCAACAATAATGTCTAGACTTCATTGCTCGATCATTGCCGTAGCCTTTTACTATATCAGATTATTTTGAATTTTTATTTTTACTATGCAAATTTAATTTATAATTTTTTAAAAATTTTATTTTTCCAAACCATATTGGCATATTGCAGTAGTAGTTAGGAATAAGTCCCCTCAAAAAAACGAAAGTTAGGAATAAGCTAACTTTAAGCAGCTAACATAGGCGTTTGGGGGAACAAGTGATCATCCAAGCCTAAATATCCTTAGATGTAGCAACTAACCGAATTTATTTTCTGTGGCCTAAATAAAAGATTCACATTATTATTAATTTGGATATGATTCTAAAAAAATTACATGGTGGAGTAGCTAAGTAATTCTCCTTCTTTCTAGGCTTATATATCACATTTTATATATATATATAATATTTTTCCGTTTACTTCTAGATTTTATCACTCTATCAAAATTGATTAACTGTATTATTGATTTCAGAGAGAGGGAGTATTTTAGAAGTGTTAGAGAACAGTTGGTGATTTGGCTTCAAATTTTGTTGCAAGCTAAGGCTGTCACATTGTTTAAAAATTTACAAAGTGAATGTTTCAAATAATATTGTAACTAGACAATTCAATTTGTAAAGATCATACAAAATTTTTATTTGTTGTAATTGTTAAAGTTTTTCTACCGTACTCCAAATCAACTACGTAGCAATTTTGTAATCTTACACGGTTGTGATTGTAGTTGATTAGGCTCGAAAAGCACCTGTATAGGTAGCGCCGTAGGGAGAAAAATGTTGAAGAAAGTGATAGATGTAAAGGAAGCCAAGGAGCAAATATTATTCTCGTTCCCTATGATACTCACCAATGTGTTCTACAATCTAATTCCAATGATTTCAGTCATGTTTGCTGGTCATTTCGGCGAGCTACCATTGGCTGGCTCTACTCTTGTCAATTCTTGGGCTACTGTCACTGGTTATGCATTTATGGTCAGATTTCTCTCTTTAGATAATCGAACTTTTTTTTTAATTTGTTTTCGTTTACTTATATAATAGAGATATATTTTTTCCGTTACTCTAGCCTCCCTTTAATTTGATCATTTGTGAATTTTTTGTGATTGTAGCTTGGATTAAGTGGTGCACTCGAGACATTATGTGGGCAAGGCTTTGGTTCAAATTTGTACAATATGCTAGGGATTTATCTCCAAGCATCATGTATGATCTCGTTCGTTTTCTCTATAATCATATCCGTAATATGGTGGTTTACGGAACCCATTTTAGAACTACTCCATCAAAGCCCTGTTATTTCAAAAGAATCAGCAATCTATATAAGATATTTAATACCTGGTATATTTGCATTTGGCATTCTACAAAACACCATAAGATTCCTCCAAGCACAATCTGCGGTTTTTCCCCTAGTTATTTTATCACTTGTTCCGTTGCTCTTGCATTGTGGACTTAACTATGTGTTGGTTCATTTCACAACCCTTGGTTTTAAGGGACCGGCGGTGGCTACCTTCACAACGTTTTGGCTGTCGGTTATAATTCTGATCACATACGTGAGTTTCGCTAATAAATTCGAGCATACATGGAAAGGGCTATCGACTGAATCATTTTTACATGTCTTTTCTAACTTGAAACTGGCACTACCTTCTGCTGCTATGGTACGGTAGGTACACTTCTCCAATTTACACCACATTGTACTGTGAATTACACTTTGAAATCTATTATGTTTTGTTTTGGACGTTATGTTTTACAGTTTTGAGTATTGGGCATTTGAAATCTTGGTGTTGTTGGCTGGCCTCATGGCAGATTCTGAGGCAACTACTTCTCTCATGGCAATATGGTAAGATTAACGATTTGCTATGTTTTTTTCTTTTATGATGATTGTATTCCAATAGAAGTTCCTTTGTTAAATGCGATTACTAATGTTGAATTGTCGATCTCACTTCTTCCCATAAAAAGTGTCATTACAGAAACAATTGCTTATATGGGTGCTTACGGGTTGAGCGCCGCAGCAAGGTATCAATGTGACATAAGAATTCCTTATTTTCTTACAAAAAATTTTATTTGATTAGAATCCTTAACTTTTTTCATGATAGCACGAGAGTTTCAAATTTGCTTGGAGCTGGGAAACCGAGTCAAGCGAAGAGTGCAATGGGCGTTACAATAAAGCTGTCGATTCTCTTAGCCATGATTATCTCTCTAGCTCTAGGCTTGGGGCGTTACATTTGGGGAAGCTTCTTCAGTGACAATGCCAGTATAATCAAAGCATTTGCTGCCTTGACTCCTTGGATTTGCTTATCCATACTCTTGGACTCGATCCAAGGCGTACTATCAGGTGCTAGATTATCACATTGTATTGTCGATTGCTTGCTTGTAGTTTCCTCCTCTAATCATCCTTGTTACATGATACAGGGGTATGCAGGGGATGTGGTTGGCAACACTTCGCCGTGTTCATAAATTTGGGAACATTCTATTTTATTGGCATGCCAATCGCATATTTAACTGCCTTTGAGTTTAATTTGCACGTCAAGGTAATAATCACGCAACTTTACAATTCTCATTTCGACTAATTTTGTTTACATATTACAGTACAGATCGAATTGATCGAATAGTTTCATATTAATGCTTCCTCTGCGGGTTTCTTTTTGTTTTTTTTTTGTTGATTTGTGGTTTAGGGTCTTTGGATTGGCTTAATCTGTGGCCTCACCATTCAATCTGCTTCGCTTTTTCTGATTACTCGATTTCATAAATGGACAGCACTTGACATCTCTTCCAGAGGCAATGCAAATTCAGTTAGAGCAGAACCAGTGTAGCTAGGATAGATCTTGATAGCACTTCTTTCCTAATGTAACTTTTTTATCCAAATGTATTTAAACATCAGAACACGATAAAGCATTAGTTTAGAATAGTAGAGTCACATGAGCCAAACAGTTGAAATTTCAAGAATGCATTTTCTATAAACAGCCATGGCTTAGCCACCATCTACAGGGTTTCTGATAACAACTGACTCAAGCATGAACGTGACAGAATTAAGAAAGACGAGAAAAGAAGCGTGTAAGCAAGCGATTACCATGCTGCAGTAGGAGACTCACATGAGCCAAACAGTTGAAATTTCAAGAACGCATTTTCTATAAACAACCATGGCTTAGCCACCTTCTACATGGTTTCTGATAACGATTGACTCAAGCTTAAACGTGGAAGAAATAAGAAAGACGGGAAAAGAAGCGTGTAAGCAAGCGATTGCCATGCTGCACGTTACTTTCATTTGAATTTTATCCTAAAACATACTTGTAAACTAGATTACTAGAATTCTACACAGCAGGAAAACTAATATAAACCACAAACGTCCCAAAAAAATTAGGATAATTCACCTTCAATCGTGGGACAGCAGAGTATAAACTTCCAATTTCTAAGGACCACTTCATGAAATGGCAGGCATTTATTGGCTGCTCTGCTTTTAAGACCAGGCAAATTTGTGGGTCCATGCTCTTAAAAAAATCTCGATCTTTTCCCCATTATATTGCACTATTGTTCTCCTCCACGTAAATAATTTACGGTCTTGAACATACAGCAGCTGCCATATCTAAACTTAACAACTAACTTATCAAAACGTTCCTTCTCTTCCCTCCAATTTATACCAAAAGTCGGTAAATTCGTAACAGAATTGTATGAAGCGAAATCAGCTTTTGTGAATTAGGTGAGAGGTGACGTAGCGCCTTCTTAAAACAAATGCTGAGGCTCCATGTATATTGTACTCCAATTGCTGGATGCAGACAGATTAAATTGGGTATTAAACATGGGTCGTGTCTGATTAAGAATCATAAAGAGTGGAGAATTTTACGAAATGTTTCAGTCAAAGCTCTAAGAGATGAACAAAATGAAGGTATGAGAGGGTTACCAAGTCAGAGCTGGGATCCAGGCTTGGAGATCGAGGTTCCATTTGAGCAGAGACCGGTATGTATGCCCTCATAAGCTATCACACTTGCATAGTAGTTTCAAGTGTGATTTTAGTCTCCTTGATACCTGAAAGTCTGCAACCCATGGAATCCTGATTAGCTTTCACATCATTTGCCATCAAAATCAGCTGTTCACTTGAATTGAATCCCAGATGTTGCATAAATAAGATGTGTAACAAAAAAAATAGTTGGTTCAAGTTTTAACTCATTATTCTCCATAGGTCTAAAAGCTTTATTTGAATTCTGACCCTCTGGTATATGCCTCTGAAGTCGGAAGTTATGTCTCACCAATAATATTAAACTAATTGAGTAAGAATGAGAGAAGATGCGAAGCACAATCAATCCCAACATAAGTTATTATAGAGATGTATGTACCACGCTCTCATGTGCACTTACATTTCTCATACAGGTCAATGAGTACTCATCTTTGAAGGAAGCAAGCCTGTACTCCTGGGCTGAGTTGAGTCCACCTTCCTTTTTCCAGCGGCTCGGAGGTATGTGGTTAACAACTTTTACAATACTGGGGATGCCAGTTGCAGCTGCTAGCTTCAATCCTTCCAAGGTATGCTCTAGCTCAATCCTAAGGGAAACCAAAAAAAAAATGATTAAAGAAAGTTAAATACCTCAATATCAATGAATACAAGCCACAATCCAAAAAATGCTGCTTGATTTTAATTTATTTTTTGCCACACAAACAAGTTTCTTGCCTTCTTGGTTTCTCTTGTTCTAAAAAAAACCATAGAGCATTAGACAGGAGTGATGTCACACTCCCAAAATTAATTTACCACTCGTCTTTGTCTGTCAAGCATTTAAAAGGCTAAACCTGTGCTCTCACAAAAGGAGTGTAGAAATCAATTTTGGAGTTGGGAAAAATCAATTCCCAGCAACAGCATGTGAGAGCACTGAGCAGCAACATTCAAATTCATATTCAAGAAACTACAGGCACATAGAAAATTCTAATTCCTAAGTCTACACAATGGTTAATTTGAATTCCTCATCTGCTAGCATATATGATTGTTCATTTGCTCTTTTCCCTGTCGCAGGAACCTCTAAGATTTTTATTAGCTTCAGGAACAGGAACCCTATTTCTGGTGTCGCTGATTGTACTGAGGATCTATCTGGTATTTAATCATAATGTTTCGGGAGTGATTAGAGTCTATAACTAAATTTTGAACAAGTATTCATTAGTGCAGTGCATTTCAATGTGCTTTGCACATCAAATCCCATATATTCAAGTGACACTGGCTTGGCACATTGTAGGGATGGAGCTATGTAGGCGATAGGCTTTTATCAGCAGTAGTACCCTATGAAGAGAGTGGATGGTATGATGGACAAATGTGGGTGAAGCCACCAGAGGTCAGAATTTATACTCTTCTGCAACTGTTTCAAGCCCAAGAACTATCTTTTGTTGTAACTCATTATTCTGACAAATATTTTGGTCCTTTCAGGTTCTTGCTCGTGATAGGCTGCTGGGATCCTATAAGGTATGAAATGTGTTCCAACTTAATTTTCATACTATACCAGGGAGATCAGCGATTAATAAGCAAAAAATAAGAGACCTACAAAGACGTTATACTGCCAAATGCATAAATATACACACAAGATTCAGCTTTTAAGCATATAACTTGTCGACGAACTAATAAATTTGTGATACCTTTAGGTGAAACCGGTAATCAAAATGTTGAAGCAAACGCTGGTTGGAACTGGGGCACTGCTTGTATCTGGAGTCTTGCTATTTATCTTTGCCACACCAGTGCAGAATTATTTCCAAGCCATTTTCACCACAAAAGACATTTCTCAGGAAATTTCAAGCACAAATGTCGACACTAAGTTTAATATAAGGTACACTAAGATAAGTTCTACCATTAGAGCAATATAGGCAACTTCTCAATCTAACAGCTTTTTACTTTCAAATTTTTTTTCCCACAGAAAGGAGGAGTTGTTGAGGCTGCCAATGGAGGTTAAGCAAGATGATGACCTAGCAGCAGCAGCCGCAGAGGCAGCAGATGGAAGGCCAGTCTACTGCAGAGATAGGTATTACAGAGCATTAGCAGGTGGGCAATATTGCAAATGGGAGGATCTACTAAGATAGAATGCTATACAACATTGTCTTTACATTAAAATGATCATATCTTTATGGATTGGAATCAAGAGTTTGTATAAGTATCTCCAATATATCATAAGGGTGTGTGAAATGAAGTATCTGTATTCTCTGAGCAGGACTTTACATAGCTAAAATACACAAGGAAGAACACAAGAATATGTCTCTGAGCATTATTGCAGCTTTAAAGGGATACATAATATTTATGTTTCCAATAATTGATGTATATTTGACCTCATTCATCAACCCCTCCCCCTAAAAGGAAAGAAAATAGGACCAAATCAAGAATAGGATTAATCAGTTACACTTTGTTTGGATAGCAAATAAGGAAGGAAATGAAGGGGAGGGAAAGAAGGGGAAGGGAATGGAAAAGAAAAGGAGGGGGAGGTGAGCTCCATTTTCCCTCCAAATCTCTCCAATTTTGGAGGGATTATGCTTATTAAAGAGAAAGGGAAAATGGATCCCTCCCTCTCCTTTCTCTTCCTTCCCCCAATACTTTACCCAAACAAGAGAGTTTGTCCCCCTCCCTTTCTCTTCCTTTCTTTTCCTTCCATCTCCTTCTATCCAAACAAAGCATTAATGCTGGAAAATCACTAATGACCTTTTAGTTTACTGGCATATGGTGCAATTTGCCAGGGGCAAACAGTGAGACACAAAATATAATAACTAACAAAGCAAATGCTCACCTCCCAAGGAGAAATCACTTAGCAGAGGAGCTGAAGGGCTAAATTGAAGACAAGCATCTGGAACTTCAATATTAGAAACACAGGAGCAGTCAATCGGACTGTTGATCCTCAGATAGGATCTTAGAGCCATGAACTCCCAAAACATAATAGAAGTAAGCTCCTCAATAACCACCGAACACTGCAAGGACAGATTTGATGTAGAGAAAAAAAAAAAAAAAAAAAAAAAAAAAAAAAAAAAAAAAAGAAAAAAGACTGCAACCAAGTAGCATAGGAGCTTTTTGTCATTAAACAAGTTTCTTGCACCATTTAAACATTTTGAATAATTTTCCTTGAGCAATATCCCAGAAAGTTTGCTTTGTTCGCCTTGCATTTTCTGTATCGAGAGTCCTATATGCTAGAGCAAGCAAATATACTGCCGGGTGGAGTCTCCTGCAGGAAATATATGGATGATAAGGTAAAATCAAATATTAAACATGGAGCTAAACAAAAACTGAGCTTTTGATCTTGAAAGCACAAAAGGTTGTAAGACGATCACAAAGTTCACTTACTCTTCACATTCTTGGTGAGATTCAAAGCCATCCCAATATCTTTGTGATGGAACAGTTTTTCTTTTCCTATCCCGCCCATACGTTTCCACATACCATCCACCAATATCATGCGTGCTACAGCGTGGCTCAAACAACCAAAACCTGCAAGGAAGAGACATGTTGGATTCCAACGGCTATATGATGTTGAAAGTAAACAAGGACTCACTACACACATTGTCTAGAAGCTATAAATCTTTGGAAACTTACCAAAAAAATCATTCTCAGAATGAGATTCAACAATAGCACCACATATTTAAAGAGTCAAATGGGGTTGTTCCAGAAACTTGAGCATGAATGCTATGCTATACAATGTGCAAGCATGCTAATCCCAAAAGAATGATTACAGAAACAAATTAGATACACATAGAATACGGAGTACATATCTACATTTCTAGGATTCTTAATAATGTAGATTCCATCAACAGAAAATGGTTCTGAAACTAACATTACTTGCTTTTGCGTCTGGAGGAAGGGGATTAAAGAACAAATTAGTCTTCTAGTTCCTTAAAATTTGCCCGGGATGTTTATGTTCCTAGGAACTTAGGAAATGACTACATATTTCATTGGCAAATTAAGTTGTATGCACAAACAAAAGAACCAGTTTTGTACCATGTAAACATCTGACCCCATACCACTATGTTCATACTCTTTAGTGACCTGAGGAAGTCTACTTCTATACCTGTAAGGGCTCATAATGCAACAGTCATTGATTAAAGGAAGCGTTTCTGTAACTCTAAATTCACTGCCACCCCCATTAATAGAGAGAAGAATACTTCAGGAAGTAAAGCCAATCATGAAATTCAGAATCTTCTGCATCCATGAATTCCCTGTAGAGGAATAGACTTACTTGCTTGATGGCAATCTTGCCCTGGTGCATCTACATTCACAAATAGAAACTTCATCTCCCAACTGAAACCAGTGCATGTGTTTCACCTAAAACAGATACTTTAAGTTGTCAAATTTCCACTCTTTGCTTCAACAATGGCAATGATCAGGTTAAGAAAAGACAGAAAAGGCAGACAAACAGAAGAACAAGAAAACATTTTAAGGGTCCAAATCAAAAAAAAAAAAAAAAAAAAAAAAAAAAAAAAAAAAAAAAACCTTTTAGGAGGGGAGGGGGCAATTGAGAGAAAACACAGGCTCAAAATTACTGTATACTCCGTAATAAGGGAGGGGGCAATTGAGAGAAAACACAGGCTCAAAATTACTGTATACTCCGTAATAAGTTAGAAACTAATATGTTTGACTATTAAAATAATCTTCTGCTAGCAAAATTTTAAGTATATGATCTTTTTTTTGTAATTTGGAAAACATAAATGCATAACTAACTTATCAGCTTTAACGAACACAAGTAAAATCATAAATGTATAGGACTGAATAGGTGATTGCCATTTAATTTAGACACATGTGAGGCTCTGAATTTGAGAGTACAATACAGGGGTGAACCAGTGAAGTGATCCTAATTACGACAGTACTCAAAATGAACATATAATATACGCAAAGATATATACAGAAAGTAAAAAATGGAGCCCACAGTAAGATAGAGCAAAGGGTAGATAGTCAGACAAACCAGTGGTGTTCTATGCTTGAGAATCACATGACTCTTTGAACCATTACTATTGTATACGTAACAGGAGCTCTCATCAGGATTAGTTCCAAGCCCAGATATTGTGCCCAAGACGACCTTTGAAACTGAACCATGCAAGGTTCTTTTATTCGAATGACAACGGTTGAAATGCACTGGATCCTCTTGCGAATTAAGAAAAATATGTATCATATCTTGTGAACTATCCTCATCGACCTTGTCAGGAAAATCGCTTGCACCAGAAGATTCTTTTGGAGGGATTCTAGTTGCCATAGCAACTAACCTCCCACACACATGCAACTCCAAGTCTTTGTATGCATCTAAAGCTTGATTTTGGATATCGTTCATATTGTTTTGAGGCAATTCAGCAGACGCTTTATTGTTGGCAAAATCTGTTTGACAGCCGACATTGTCCACAGGCTGACACAATTCTAAATCCTCAAGTGCAGTAGTCAGTTTTTTATAAGAAACATCAGACAATTCAGGAACATCATCAACAATGCGGACAAATCCAAAGAGATAACGCCCTGAAACCAAGTGTAACACCTCAGGTGTTTCATATACAGACCTCTCCTCGGCTTCAAATCGATCAGGAAGAAGGTCCAGAGATAGGATTTCAGGACCAAAATACGCTGAATGCATAGCTGAATAAAATTCTCTTTGAAGCACATCAAAATAACCTGAACCAGCCGGCAAACTCCTCTCTGATAATATATCTTTCCCAGCATGTCTATACCACTTCAACCACTCGACAACCTCCATTTGCTTGGTTGTTTTCACATACGAGTTGTACATTTGATAATTAGAACCTTCTCTTGAATGTTTTTGTTCAATGTGTCTCGCGGTTTGCAAATACTGATCATAAAGGGCTCTTTTAGTGGGCTCCGACAGAATCTGCAACCAGATTCAATTACTAATCACATATCCCGGGTTTGAATGATGGCAGAATTTGGCGTGTATTAAGATCACACTAGCCTACGTGCACCCTATAACTACCGGTGCCAACAGACAGACTCGTGAGCTCACACAGAAAATGCCAAATACGATGAGATTCCAATGCGCAAACCTAGACTTGTAAGAGCAACTGCGTAACAATTTCATGACATTGCAAAACCTAGACTAGTAACCTCAATATCTTTATACCAGATACTAAGCAATAAAAACTAATTCAAACATTAATACAAATGTCAATAACAATGGATGATTGATTAATTGAACATAATTCACAAGAAGTAGAATTATTGAACAATGTGACCCCCAATTCACCAATATATAACACAAACTTAGCAGAATTAGAAATTGTAAAATATCAAATTTAACACTAATTCAACATAATATTACAGCAAGAAATCAATAATGATTGACAAAATAGTACTCACCTCATAAGCAGCGAGAATTTGGATGAAACGTTTCGAATCAGCAGTATCAGTATCCGCAGAAGAAACGAGGTCAGGGTGCGTTTCTTTAGCAAGCTTATAATAAAATAAATCATCGAGGTGGTAATTCTAAAAAGTGCTGTATTGATGGTGGTATTTTTCAAATTTTCCTTTATTATTAAAATATGTTTATTAATCCCTTCGTTTCGATTTAATTGCAACATTAGAGTGTTCACAAAATTTTAAAAAATTTATAGGGTGAGGCCCAAAAGAGGATTTTTATAAAATAAGTATGGGAATTTATCAATGATACACTTGTGATTTTGACTTATATGATAATCATGGCTTTGAAATATAATGACTTACCGTAAACATATTATTAACCTGACGTTAGTATTCTTAGTAATACACGCTTTAATTAATTGGAAAACAATGAAAATACCTACTGCCCCTCCTATTTACTCTCCATGCAACTTTCCCTCCCACATTTCCCTCCTTTATTTTAATAAAGGTTCAATTTCCACCATATTTGACTTGTATATACATGCTCCTCTTTGCTCTGTCATTTTTAGGATTTCTTCTGCTTCTTTTTTCTTTCCCACCTAAGGTTCAAAGCAACGGTATTACACTTTCTACAAACATGAGAGCAAATAAAACTATTAAACATTAGGCTATCTTTTCCAATATCATCAAAATTTAGATAAATAGGAGAAAAACTAGTTGGGGCGTTATTGACAGCAAGCACTACATTAATTGCATTACTTTCGACCCCGGCTTGTAGCCTTCACGAACAAAAGCATCGGAGGAGACCACTGCTGCACATTCGAGCACTAACCTTTTTCAATCAACAAAGAAGCGCTAAATTTCCTGGAAATTTGCTTCACTCGTGCGTCAATTAGGTTTCTCATAGACATAAAAACAGGGTAGAGAGTTGGAGGAAGAAGATGAACGATCAAAAAGATTTTCTTTAATTTTGGCAGTTGGGGCCTTGGAGGGAGAGTTAATTAGCAGGGGGGCAATTTAGTCAAGTCAAATTTGTTGTTAATTAACATCCTCAAAAAAAAAAAAAAACTTATTACTAACGTTTGATTAACATTATACTTACTGTTGTTAATTAGGATTATACTTGGGTGTATCATTGATTATAAAAGTTTAATGGTGTGTAGCAAAGATGAAAGTCATACCAACCAGGGAATAAGACTTCTTTTTAAGCATACCAGCCAGGCTACTACAATTCCAAATATACAACATGGACTAATAACACGAGAGTAGCAATTTAATAAAAAGTCTACATTGTCAGATCCAAGGTGAATAAATTAAGTACTAATAACATGCCTTAATAAGTTATGATTGCTATTGCTGCTACAATCGCTATTGCAGCTAAAATAAACACATATGACTTTCAACATCAACACAGCTCTTCACAATTCCAACTTAGACATGAAGCTCGTTCATTGGCCCACAAGTTGCAACACACCTATCTGCAGGTAGGCACGCAAAATAACAAATGAGAAGTTCAGAACTTACATAACTTTTTATGCTAAGGCATAATAAACTTTCCATATCACAAGGTGATAGATGTAGAAGTCAAACAGTACTATGAGAATTCTGGTGCATTTTCTTACACAGGAACCTTACAATGAATAAATGAAGAGCAGGACTAGTATTTAAACATATTTTTAGGAAGAGTTAGGGGGGAAGAATCCGGAAGATGCTTCACTTAAGGCATTCCAGATTGAGGGCTTCTTCACCCCCCCCCCCCCCCTCTCCCAAAACTCCGATTCATGAAGAGAACTTCATCAAATAATTGCTTAGGAGTTGAACATCCATCAGTACTAGCACAGGTTGTGTTCAAATTCAACCAGCTAGTATAAGCTTGTTTACACACAGAAAAAAAGGAAGATAGTTCTACCACCCAACCCAACTAGGAAAACAACCCACAATCATGCATGACTGATATAGACTGAAATCTTCACAGTGATAGGCAATAATGTTTTTATGGAACTTCTAAATTGTAGAGAAATTCAAAATTAAGATGTCATGCCAATACCAGACAACAATTTAACCTTCTTTTCTTGTATCAATTCTCAAGATTACATATCCATCACAACTCATACGCTTAATTCTACATTTTGTAACGATTGCTTAATTCTGCATTATATTAATGAGCATACATAAGGAAAAAAAAAATTGAAAAGAGACATAGGAAACGGAAGAAATGGAATATGGTTCAGGTTCATTATCCATAATGGACTCAAAACCTACCCTCAACTACAAGACCCTAATAAACATGGAAAGAGTGATAACATTTGGTGCAGAAACTGGTATTAAAATAGTCCAACAGGTACAATATGAAGTTCACCCCAAAACACGAGAGAGCAGGGGACAGGGAAGAGGGTAGATACCTTGAAGGAAAGCTTAAAAGACAGACTTAGACTAAATGAAGGCCTGACTCAGGACATAGATCAACTATTGAACAGTAATGAAAAACACGAGTAAAGATCAACAACTACGCATCTCATGAGTCGGAGAGACAAATGTGCAGCATTACAGGCATATTTCATTCACCTCTACTTTTTCAACCAATTTCATGTTCAAGAGAAGCTTAAACGATAGAAAGTAGGCTTGATTGATTCATGACATGTTTGAACTACTGAACAAGCAATGAAAATGTTGAGGAGCATTTAGGCTCCATTTGTTTTGACAGAAAACATTTTCTAAAGGTGGAAAACAATTTTCACAAAGGTGGAAACTAATTTTCTCTAAAGTGAAAAATATTTACAGTATGCCACACTTTTCTTCCCACTCTTTACATTCTTCTTCTATCCTCTTATCCATTCTCCCTTTCACTCTCACTTTCCCTTCCTTATCTTTTACTTTTTTAATTCTTTAAAATATTATTATTTTCCATGAAAAAATCATTTTCCCAAAAAATTTGTTTTCCTTAAAAACAAACAGAGCCTTAGAGGTGGGAAACAAATAAGCAATTTTTAAAGTAAAACAATAATTTGCAAGAAGGTTAACATATATAGAATTATTGTCAATAGTCAAGGGTCTTGTAAATGATAATGATCAAGAACATATTACAATTGAATATAATGATCATAGAAATATAAAGTAATATTTAAGAATATAATGATCAAGAACATATTACAATTGAATAACCTTAACAAAAGCTTAGCTAGCTAACATACCTAGACAGGGAGGTAGAGAAAAGTACTGCAGCGAGAGGGGAGATTATAATGTTGGGAAGAAAGCGGAGTGACAAGAATCTCCTTAGAGTTGGCATTCAAGTTGACGAGTTGGACTTTGAATTGGACAATATGATCAAAGGCGGGGTTCTCGTCCCAAGGAATAGCGGAAAAGATCAAGCACAGCACGCCATTGCCCCGATGTAATAAGGTATCATATCTGGTATAAATAAGATAAGATTGATAGTCGGCTTTAGCCTCAGCCTCAGGGGACAGTCTTACGTTCAACCATTCTTTAGAGACTGTATCATAAGCCCTAAAGAATGCCTTCATTCTAGGATTATGAATATAGATAACCCCATCGTCTGCGATAGTCACGGCCTCTCCCCACCTTTGCCATCCACCTTTAAGGTCCTCAACCAGACACCGCCATTGATCCTCACATGGATAATAGGCATACATCGTTGAGATATACTGGAAGTACACTATGATTCTGTTTCTTTTGTGATCCGCCATAACCGGAAGAATTAGTGTGCGGTAATCAAACAACTGATCCCCATCACCACACGGTGGCGGTGGGAACGGAGGCGACTTTAAGCGACGCCAATTATTATGTTGAGGATCGAAAACCTCGCCAATAAAACCAGATTCGGAGTTGTCAAAAACATATATCTTCCCACCAAATTCGACGATACCTTCTGGCCACGCCTGATTGGCCCTTACGGCTGGTGACTGATCGAGCCCAGCGGTGGCTAGTCTCCAACCATCTTTAGGTTTGGTAAGATCTAGCATATGACATGAGAATAAGCCTTTCTGTTTCCTCTTACCTTTCTTGGGTTTTGATTTTGCGGAATCATCACCGTCACCGGAGGAGAACGATTTGCCGCCCCCAAAAACATAAAGTGTAGATCCCACAACACCCACGGGAGGCTCACAACCATTACCAACCACGATACGAGGAAGTGATGAGACTTCCGCAGTGTTCAGATCCAAAACATAGTAAACAATTTCACAACAATCACGAGGTGCTATAAGTAAAGGGTTCCTGGGTTCAATCACCATGCCCCCTACTATCATCTTATTCTTCAATTCCCCTCTCTTTTCCACCACCATTTTTTCCGGCATCGCTCCCTCTCTTCAATTCAATTGATACTTAACACTCTAACACCCCCAATTTGCCACACTTGCGGTTGCGGCCCTAGATGCCTTTATTTATATGCCTTTATTTATACGAAGCCTAAGCAATCTAGGGTGGGCTTCTCTTGGGCGGGTAATTGTGGGTTACCTTCTTATCAACAATGATTGGGCTCATGACCCGTATTTTATAAGAGCACTTGTAGACTTTCTTTCTATTCGAAACAAATTCTAAACACGGCTTTATTTTCAGGGATGTCAGTGTGGCAGGTCAAGTAAAAGACCCGCTCTAACGGGTAGGGATGGGTCTTTGTTTAGTGGGTGGGGGAGCGGGGATCAACAGTTATTACGTGCAATATGGTGCAACTATTTTTAAATGCACCACATCTATAATTTGAACATTTAATAAATAAATAAATAAATAAAACTGAACATTTAGTACCTTCTACAATGGCAAATGTGGCAATAAGACTCCCTAACCTTCTCCAAAAACGTCATTCTTCATTTCTCCATGAATGATGCTCTTGGTAAGTTTCCTAGTTGTGCATGTCAATTGTACCTTCTTGTGTTTAATGCTCACATGTATCATTTTAAGGGAAAATTTAGTATATGAGTAAAAATTAAGCAATTTTCAAACTGCATATAAATTAGGGCATTCTTATTACTAGTTCTTTAGATTTAATTATGTAAAATAATCATGCTTGTGCAAACCATGAGGGAAAAGATTGAGTTTATGCATCATTTAGAACAAATAATAGATAATAAAAGCATCTATCTTCAATAGTATACACATGTATAAAATTTATCTACTTTAGATGTATATTATATAATCCTATTTTATTGATTAATTGTAAAAAAAAAAATAGAATTACAGGTAAGATAATAGATGATGTATGGAGTAATTTTAATTGTAAAACATACATATTTTTATTGTATTTATTTATTTGTTTATAGATTAAAAAGATTAAAATTTAATATACATAATGTGCCATGTCATCATTTTTCGGTGATAATTTGGCCGGAAAATTGAATTTGTACTTAATTTCACGT